TTTACAAAAAAAAAAAAGGAAAAGAAAAAAGAAAAATCAATAATTTACCAGGTTTTGTAAAGAATTCCCCAAAGAAGCGTGACTGGAGTTTTGGGATTTTTTTTTCCCCTCTTTTAAATTGCCAGTTCCTCCAGGGCAAAGAATACACCAAGATTTATGTTTATTGCAAGCATTCAATTAGTTATGTTTGAATAATGCAGCTCTTTGTTCTCAATCAATAAGAGAAGGATTATAGATTCTCTCATCCTCTTTAAAGTGTAATATTGTCCTTTTTCTTCACTTACTGTTGCTCAAACATATTTTCATAACATGTCCTACACTTGGCATAATTTGCTGTCCATGAGCATGCTTCCACATCCCTTACAGATGTTTGTCTCGTGTCTGTGATATGACAGTATTCCCAAGCCTCAGATGACACAGCATCCTCACTGCTAATGTGAATGCTTGCCTGCTTTTTTTGGAGACAATAATATTTTAATATTGTCTCTTAAAAAAAAAAGAAAAAAAGAAGCAACATGGTCAAAGCTTTTCATCCACTGATTTACAAATCTCTGAGCAGAATGGGAGGAGCTCTTTGTTCACATTCATTGGTTGTCACGTCTGCATAATCCTCGAACAGTGTATTGTCCAAATGGGGGAAAAAAAAGACAAGCCATAAACGGGTTATGCAATTGTTTAAAGAAAAAGAGAGAAATAAAGAAGGGAAGGGAGTGAGAAATGGAAATAGGAGAATTAAGGAAATCTATATTTTCAAATGGAGAGGGGAGAGAGAGAGATGTTTTACAGTTAGTGCTACAGTTGTGGAGCAGGGTGATATTTTAGCCCTGTGTCTTGCTGTCCACACTGATCCTACCTCTCAAGCCTCTCCATCTTGAAGGATGCCACTCATCCCAACCCCATCCATAGGCCATGCATATTTGCTATAGCCACTTTTTACTCTTGAAAGTTAATTTACATCGGGATTCTTTGCTAGCGCCCAAGCTGAAGCTACAGGAGTCGTTCATGCTGAAGGGATGAGTCCCTCACCACCTGCTGTGAGTTGCAGACACTCAACTTTTGGGAGTCACCCCTCACCTCTCTCTGTTAGGTGCTGGCAGGTTGAGATGCCCCTCAGCTCTTCTGGTTGGATCCCTCATGTTATTAACACCCGAGACAAATTTCTCTTACTTCCCAGGGGATTTCTTTTGGTGATGGGAAGGGATGTCAAACACGGCATTTACAACATTTTTTCCCCCCAGATCCTAATAAATATTAATTCTTATTAATAATTCAACCTAGCTGTCATGCAGTGCTTTTCCTCTACAGATCTCAGGTGGTGAAACCATGAGAGGCACAGCAGTAATAATAACCCATTTGCAGGGTTTTCTTGCTTTATTACTTTTGCTGGTAGCATGGTGAACACCTAACAGCCGACCAGATAGGGGGGCCCCATGGTGTGCGGTGCTGTACAAAAACATTAGGGCCGATGTTTTCAAAGGTGCAAGCCGTGACTGATGCACGTGTACAAGGTCAGCTAAGCATCTTTGAAACTCTGGGCGTGTGCGTATAAGGCTATCACTGTACTACAGTTGTGCTTTTGAATAGTCATCTTGCTAAGCGAAGTTAAAATATCTGAGTTGTCCTCCAGAGTCCTTTTACCCCGGCTGCTGCATTTCTAAGCCATCTGAGTCACTCCCAGCACTAACATTGTTGCATTCAATGTTATGACTCCAGATCTCAAGAGTTTTACAACAGCTCCATCAACACTGCCTGGCTCAATGGGTTTTGAATTCTGGTAATAATTCAGGGAAGCCTCTTGTAGCCAAGCTGAGAGAAGAGGTTGCACTGGTTTTGCAAAACTGGAGTAGTTTAGAGGTGGCTCCTGCTTTTATCTGAACCCCTAATAAAGTCAGGGAGGGGGCTGGGGAATGCTTTCATTTTGGCCTTTCTCTCTTCCTCCAGCCCCCTGCTCTTTCCCCTCCACATTCCCTGTTAGACGCTCCAGCAGCAGGATGTTATTGTTAAACCCTCCTGGCAATGGCTGGAAGCTAGAGATGACATGTGAAAGTATATGTTACATGATCAGGTTTCCTCTGCAGTAAAGGAGCGAGGGGGATGTGGGAGGGGGGAAGAAGTTGGTACCCTAAAGGCAACATGAATATCCCATGAGCAGAGGGAATAAAGATCCTGGCTTTATTTTATTAGGTACCGAATTTGGCTTTTAAGTAGATTCTGCCCTAGCTACTATATATATTTTGTAATTTAGCTTTAGGCAGGAAGGCATTTTGGAGGTGTTTACTACTGTTAACCCAAGGAAACTAGAAGGGCCTATGTGCTGAACTTAAACCACTACTGACCAGCAAACCAAGCCCAACCCATCTGGGTCCCTTTAACCTCTCTCTTGGGGGCTGCTCTCTCACTCCTCGTAGCCACAAGTTCGCCATATGCCCAGCTCCCAGCAGAAGGTATTTCCAGCGCAGACCAGCTTGACATTTCATTAATTTCATCTATCCTTGACGCCCCGCAGAGACCGCCAAACACCTTATTTGCAGACAGCCACATGTAGTTTTGCTGTTTATGCCGAAAGGGATATCAATGCATGCTGCAGGCACAAAAGCGAGACAAAAGATAGGGATCGGACACCAGCACGTTCTGTTTTGTTTTTATTGTACATTGCAGAAATAGCCCTGTGTAGTGGATAAAAGTGCAACATACACAATATTTAAGAAAAGGAAAAAACCCCCCCAAAAAACCAAAACAACAACCCTTCTTGAGGTCTGTCATTCAAAGTTGCAAACAAAAAACAGTATAATATTCCCTCACGCAAGAGGCATATTTTTTTTGCACGTCATGCAAAAAAATAAAATAAAAAAAATAGAAAAGAGAAGGAAGAGGAAATCCAAAAGATAGATAAATAGATGGATCGATAGATAGATATATGTCTAGATATCAATATAACCCAATAGAGAGCCCTATAAAGAACAGAAAGGAGACCAAAAGTGCTACTTTACATGAACTCAAAGAGCACTAATAAGAAAGGAAAACAGACTGCCATTCGGCATTTCAAAATATTTGGCACTCTTGTGATTACACTGGATTTTTTTTTTTGTTCCATTTTGTTATTTTTATACAGTCTATTAAAGAGAATAAACTGCCACGATATAAGAAAAAACAGACTGCCCACACTACAGACTGCAGGTAGTTAGAAAAAGCGGAGCATTTCCCCCCCTCCCCCCCATTTTACATATAAAATTTGTCCATCTGCACTAACTTGAGCAGCTTGCTCAGAGCAACAAAGAAATACAAGCTTTAAAAAATAAACCAAGAATTCTTCCGATAGGTTCATTCCTTATAAAAGTTTGTTTTTCACACATTCCATCGATACCTTTAAAATGTGACTAAAATGAAATATATATATATATATTTATATATCGTTTTTCTTTTTTAAACATCCAAAGACATCAAATAAAAAAATAACAATGAAACTGATAGCATGTTACATCCAAGTGCACGGAATCATTTTTGCAAGATTAAATAATGTAAACAAGGTCTCATTTGGGAACAATCAAGACCAGCAAAAAAGGTAATCGGGGTTTAAAAACACTGCGTTTGTTGCATTATTTAAAGGACTTTTCACCTCGGATTTCGAATTGCGCCATATTCATCAGATACGGGGTAGGGGGGAGAAAAAGTGACAAGTAATTTCGACCACAGAGCCGCGACTGATGCGCTGTGATCGATCATTATTTTGTGGGTTTGCTTTAGCTGTTTTACAAATCTGCTTTTAAAAACCGTCTTCCTTTTCCACGCTTCTTCCGTCTCCGAGCCTGCCGTTAAGATACAATTTACTGATTTGCATTGTGGATTGCAGGGTATTAATGAAGGATTTCAAAGTGCTCTGTTGGGGGGAGGGGGCGGGGGGGTTGTTGCCAATAATGGGTTACATGGTGAATTATTTTCCACCCCCGCCTTTGCTCAGTGTCTCTGGCGGGGAATTAAACCCCCGGAGGTGCCTTTTCTGAAAGATTTTTCAGCACATCATCAATTCTATCATCTTCAATGACAACTGTAAAGCAGAAAAACAAAAGGATGAATACATTGGCACTTCCCTTCTTCCATCTCCCTTTGCTGTTGCATGAATTCCCCTTTTGTCCTGAAATCCGCCCCCCTCTCCCCGAAACGTGTCCGGGTCTGCAGAATCTCTCTCTTCCCCAATTACAAGAAAACACAGCCGCTTTCATCTACTGCATCGTAACACACTCGGACGTGCGTGCACACAAACGCATGGCATACGGTCCACTGTAAAAGCTCATTTATCGCAGACAAAAAATGCCACCAGAAGTCAGGGAAACCACATTTTCTTTTTCCTGGGGAAAGGAATATGCCGATTCAGCAATCTGCTGCTATTGAGAGGCGAGAAGTGATACCACTGCAAAGAATTAAAGGCACTGGGTTGTGTTACACACTTAATCCAGTGTTTTCAAGGTCACCAAATACTTGGCCGCTGGGGTTACGTTGCCTAAAACAGCGGACGGGGGCTTTTCCGATCAACTCGACCAAGTGGTGGCTGAGCAGCACCTTCCCCTCCCAGACGGGCTCCCTGGGGCACGCCAGATTGGGGTTTCTTTGTCCGGGGCTCGGACCCTTTCGGTTTTAAACCCCCAACGTGGCTGTGGGGGGGAAGACTCTCGAGCGTGCTCAACTTTCCCCTTGGGCTCGCAGGGACCCAGTCATTCCCCGCAGGCTTTTGGGTGCAGGCTCAGCATCCCCCCAGCCTTAGCACGGAGCGGGGCATCCGCAGTTGGATCTGAGCTCACCCAGTCACCCTGAAACCCCGCTCCCATCGCTGTCGCTGACCGGGTGGCGTTTGCACATGGTGCCGGCTTGGATTTGGTGCCTGGAGAGCTCACCCATCACCCCTACACCCCTCCCATCGGTGTCCCCTACCGGGGGGCATCCACACGAGGCAGGGGGCTCGGAGGAGAGCTTGCCCGTCACCCCTGCACCCTCCCCATGGCTGCCCCATACCAGGGGGCATCTGCATGAAGCAGGGGGCTCGGATGAAAGGTCGCCCATTGCCCCTACACCCTCCCCATCGCTGCCCTGTACCGGGGGGCATCCGCACGAGGCAGGGGGCTCGGAGGAGAGCTTGCTCATCACCCCTGCACCCTCCCCATGGCTGCCCTGTATTGGGGGACATCTGTATGAGGCAGGGGGCTGGGAGGAGAGGTCGCCTATCGCCCCTGCACCCTCCCCATGGCCGCCCTGTACCGGGGGGCATCCGCACGAGGCAGGGGGCTCGGAGGAGAGCTTGCTCATCACCCCTGCACCCTCCCCATGGCTGCCCTGTATTGGGGGACATCTGTATGAGGCAGGGGGCTGGGAGGAGAGGTCGCCTATCGCCCCTGCACCCTCCCCATGGCCGCCCTGTACCGGGGGGCATCCGCACGAGGCAGGGGGCTCGGAGGAGAGCTTGCTCATCACCCCTGCACCCTCCCCATGGCTGCCCTGTATTGGGGGACATCTGTATGAGGCAGGGGGCTTGGATGAGAGGTCGCCTATCACCCCTGCACCCTCCCCATGGCCGCCCTGTACCGGGGGACATCCGCAGGAGGCAGGGGGCTGGGAGGAGAGGTCGCCCATCGCCCCCGCACCCTGGCCGCGGGCACCCACCTCGCTTGCTGCGGCCGATCTGGCCCAGCTTGGGCGGGCGCTTGCCCGGGGCGGCGGCGAAGAAGGGGCCAGCGTCCTGCAGGCGGCAGGTGAAGGAGATCTGCCCCACGTCCGCGCCGTCCGCGTAGTGCCCCAGCTTGTCCTCGCCGTAGGGCAGCACCTCCGACATGGCGCCGCGCTCGGGCTGGGGATCGGGCTGCCGCCCGCCCCCCACTCC